TAAAATATGTTACCTGCCCTGACGATGAGAAATATATAAAATATGTTACCTGCCCTGACGATGAGAAATATATAAAATATGCTACCTGCCCTGACGATGAGAAATATATAGAATATGCTACCTGCCCTGACGATGAGAAATATTTAAAATATGTTACCTGCCCTGACGATGAGAAATATATAAAATATGTTACCTGCCCTCACTTTTGTTCAAATGCTCCTCTAACAACCATTCTAAAGCTGTGAGCGTCTGTTGTTATTAGGACCATACCATATTTGGCTTAGGTTTGTGTGGTAACAATCTTTCATCTACATTGTAGGCAAAGGGCAGTCTTGAAGACAAGAAGATGATGCCCCCACCACCAAACGACAAGGCAAATGTTGGTCCTACTCCTGGTGCAATACTAGTGGCCTCGTATGGTGGAGACAGTGACTCGGACGAGGAAGACCCCTCGTCAGCTGGTGGGACTGGCCCAGTGGATGAGAGCAAACTGACTGACTGGTCAAAGTTGGCTTGTCTCCTGTGTAAACGACAGTTCCAGACCAGAGAGATTCTCATGAAACACCAACAGATGTCTGACTTGCACAAGGTATGTTTATCTGGTATTCTCAGAAAAGAAAAAGGTTCAGTTGGCAATAGGATATATATTTATTTGATGAGTTTGCATCAAAAACTCATAGAAGGTCATGGGACTAAATGTGTGTTTATGTATACAAAACAGTTTCTTTCGGGTCAAATACATAAAAAAAATCTCAACAAAGACGAATGATATGAATTGAAATAATATTTTGTATTTCCAATTTCAGCAAAATCTAGAGGCTTTACATAAAACAAGAAATCAGAATAATGCTGCATCAGAACAAGAAAAGCTACAGGTAACTATCCAGACTTAATACCATTCCAGAGTTAAGTGTGCAATGAAGTGGGAGGTTATTGGATTGTGGCTAGTATGGTTAGCGTTCAGACTTGTGTGTTTTGTATCTTTTTAACATTTGATAGGTAATGAACTTAATGAAAAAGTAACCACCAATTTACAACCCTGAATAAAGTTGAATAATTGCATCATTATACAGCTTATTACAAGCATTCTCTGTCAAGGATGCTCATTTATTGGTTGTACTCAAGTGTTGATATTTTACTGTTTGGTTGTAGTACCGAGATCGAGCTAAGGAGAGGCGTCAGAAGTACGGAATACCACCCCCTCCCGAACCCAGGATGAAACGGCCAGATATACCCATAATGTAAGCATCATGTCACATCCACCTGTAAAAAAAATATGTTAACTTTTTTTTTCTGTTCCATAATGTAATAATTAGAGCTTTGTATGATATTTAAAAAGTACCATTTTTCGAAGTATTTCGATGTTTTAACTGCTAACCTATTTTATACTCCAACAATGTTAGAGGTCTTACACGGCGAAAAACTTTTGACAGGCGCCGCGTAACCTCTAACTGCCCATAGCTGATTTTCCCGATGCTGACGATCACATTTTCAAAGTTCGGATTAAGAAATAGTACATCGTGTTTACATACATGTAAATGGTCAAAAGGGTCCAATTAATATTCCTTTCCATAAATCCATGATTATATGAGAAAAATTGCGTGTCAAAGACATAAATAATGAGTTTTTCCTCATTCGAAGCGAAGCAGACAACATTTGCCATGATTTTTCCGGTTAATACAAAAATGGATTACATGTAATGTTTCACAAGCGGAATACAAAAAAACTCCGTATCATTTCGTTCCGTTTGAAATCCCCCCTGCTATTTTTCATTAATCCAGAAGCCATGTTTTAAATGTAGGTCAGAGATGTGCTACAATGACATGGACATGTATTTTGAGTGTTCTATTCCGTAATATACTATATATTTGTGTCTGTGACATACATATGAGATCTATATTATATAAACCGTGAGTAGACATCGTTGTCATGAACTGTTAACCACTTAAGTGAGTTTTGTCAAGCCGATTTTGTTCCGCCCGAAGAATTAGTGCTTCGGAAATGAGAGGTCGCAGTCGGCAAAATCATATCCGATTGAAAAAAGGCCAACCAGCGGCCTCTCATGTTATGGGAGTAACCTATTTTACAGACTGCTATTATTGATTTAGTCTTTGACATAACATCCATTAATTTGATTTCAGACCAGAACAACCAACCAAAGCTGGTATTGGCCAGGACAACATTGGCAACAAGCTTCTACAGAAGATGGGCTGGTCATCTGGCCAGGGTCTGGGCAAGAAAGGACAGGGCATAGTCAACCCTATAGAGGTGGGTATCTCTGGTTAATCAGCTGTATAACAAAATAGGTTAGGCCAAAAAAATAAATGATTACTTGGTTCTCAGGCCCGCGCACATTTTTTTTAGGTCACTGCATTGCCGATTTTATCGTGAAAGTCATAAAAAAGAATCTTGAATGTGCCAGCCACCGTCTTTAAAAAAACTCCGGAAAATTGGTCCGCTTGGTGATTTACTCGTTAGTCACCCAAGTCCCGAAATCGTTTGAATATAGATAAGGATTGATATACAGGCAAGCGTTAAAATGATTATGACTTATTAGTCTTGTGTACAAATAACGCTCATTTCAGAATAAATAAGGAATGGGGGGTTCGTGATTCTCATCTTGGGGGGGATTTCCCGGAGGCTTGCTCTGTAGCGGGGTCTCTACACAACTATAAAAAGACAAGGTAATGCCCACAATGAACGTTTGACAAACTACACAATAAAAAAAAACCACCCTCATCTCGTTTTTTGCCATGTAAAATGGGGGAAAAAATACCGCCCTGCTGCATTTCTTTTGAAAAAAATTGGCCCGAGAACCAAGGAATTAGTTTTATTTAGCCTTATGTCCAATTTGACTAATCACTATTTGCCTATCACATGATGTTTGAATATGCAGTTCGAATACAGCTTCATCATCAAATGCCTTATGTGAATAAAACAGGTAATTAATTAGTAAGTTAATCTTGTATTGTTAACTGTTAGGAGACTGAAGAAGTGTATTAGGACATCAGCCAACTGCTGTATGGCAACATGACTGAACAATTCAAATCAAGTAAAACTAAAACAATTTGTTTGTGTTTTGTACTTAAATGAGCAAACAACATGCTGTAGAACGCTGTAGCTAGAGCACTGATACATCATTGAGTTATCTATTAATGTCCTCATACATATGTCACACAATGTGTGAATGCCAGGGGATTTGTATCACTTGTGATGCCTTGTTGATATTGAACTACTTGTATGTTTCAGGCTAAGCGACGCATGCAAACCGCTGGGTTGGGCATGAGAGGGTCTTCATACGGAGCTAATGCTTCAGATACATACAAGGATGCAGTGAAAAAGACCATGTTTGCTCGCTATCAGGAAACAGAATGATGTTGTCGGACACAGAGTGACAAAGATAGTTATAAGAGACTTTCCAAACAAGGATTCTCTTAACGCTGCCATATCTAACATAGGAGTGTGTTGTAACATGAACAACACAACAGCCCTAAAATGTTGGAAAAGCTCAGGGACAGAGCTGCGAGGATGTTCTCCACACGAGCTGTAGATTTACTTAAAAACACCAACAACAAATTGGTTAGCATGAATTTACAGTACACATCCCTGGTTCTGGCGAGCACAGACCCTTGTGATGTGCTGGGGAGCACAGACCATTGTGATAAGCTGGGGAGCACCAACCCTGGATCGCTTCAGTGAACAGATACCAGTTACAATCGAGCCACAATGAGCAGACTGCTGAACAGGGCCCAGCTTACAGGCAGAGACTTCAAACAGCCCAGATGATTGAACTGTGGGTCAAGACTTCTGGACAGTGGTCAGGATTAATGAAGGGGTTATATGTGCATTGACATTAAGGAAGACAGGTCACAATTGCTCAAAGATTTCATCTACACAGGCTAATCATGATAACGATCATTCTTTTGCGTTGCTTTACTAGATTATTTGATTACATGGCTGTAATGTCAGACTGTAATGTATGGAAATTGATACTAGTATACAGGTTTCTTTGATAATCTATGCATGTTACTATAATAAAAAACAAAACACGTCAATCATGAATAATTTATATTATGTCCAGTTTGGCACATTTAAATAGGCTGCACAAATGTATACTTCTGTTTAGTGAAAGTTGCACAAAATGGTGACTAAAAAAGGTCAGTGTCCTGCAGTGTACACGTGTGCCTATAAGTTAGACACCAAGGGTGGAGGGAACGTGACAACATCAGCTTCCTGCCCTGTGTGTCTTACGGGTTTTACCTCAAACACCCTTTCTGGTGGTTGTTTTCCTTGACATGTGTGAATAATTTCCTATGGTGTGAAGATTTTGATACCTGTGATATTTTTTGTTGTCTACATTGTACCAATGTTGTTATGATACTTGACCTGCTTGTTTTAAGCATGGTTTTACCTACGATGATACGGGATGTAGCAATCTCAATAGAAGTACTTTGTGTTTCTAATAAAACTGCTGAAGATCATATACATGTATTGTGTTCCTTTTATGATAAGAAATTGATGTTGGATCCCCAGACTCCATACATTAATGCTGAAATCATCCAATCAGCTATGGAACCACTTACATTTGGATGATGTAAATTTTCAGGAATCCTACATAGATAAACTGAATACTTATTTTAAAAGATTTTTAAAATGAAGATCGTTATACATGAAGTATTTCTATTTAGGTAGTAAGGGTCATGATATTAAATATATATTTATTGCTGATTAAATGAAAAATGTCCCCACGACCTATTGGACCAAGGTCCTTACGCAACCCTATGTGCTAGCCACCAGTTCATGCACTTAAGGTGGCTTCACACTTTCGCAATTAACCAGCAAAATTCGTTGAAATTTTCATATAATGGTTATGCAACTATGTAGAGTTGATTTTATGAAAATCTAAACGTTCCGATAGTTTGGGGACATTTTTGGAAAAAATAACAAAAAAATGAATTTTCGTCAATTTTAATATTTTCGGTTTTTCTTGTGTGTGGCATTGTTCGGAACAATAACAACAATAAAAAAAAATGAAAAGAAGCATTTCTAATTAACCCTACAAATATTTTATTAATCGCAAAATATGTAACACATGTTACACAGTGTTTTTTATTGAATTTGTACGGATAAAAGTGATTATCTACAAGCTATAATCAAGCAGGACACAAAAGATCTATACATATAGAGTGGGAAATTGAACAAAATATACACAATGGCTTAATAATTAATTTATTTTACATTTTACAATCACTTTGATCCGGGTGAGAGATATCTTCCTTGAAAAAAATCGGAACTTTTTGCAGAGGATGAAATTTACACAATGACAGTTGTCTCTGTTTACAAAAATGATGGAAATAAATCAAAAATAAATCAAAAATATGATATCAAAATTATCAATTTAGTGTTCTTTAATGGAACCAAATTACCATCAGTCTTGTACACTTTGGACATCATTCCACAGTCCGCTAACTCACGGTATATTTATAATTACATGTCGGGTACATATGTGACCAGATGCTATCGCATGGTATGCCGTTCTCACGTGCACTCACACATGCATTTCATAGGGATCTTGATATTTTACAAAACATTATTTTCACAGAGTAAGTAGACTACATTTGTAAAAACGATTTAATCGACAGAGTGAAACTCTCTCAACAGCGAAAATCGTAACGCCCTCGAGCTTATGAACTCGTGTAAGCACGCGATATGCACATGTGAGGTTGGTCCGTCCGCATTCCATGTGTTTCCTATATGATCTTCTTGAGGTCGTCTGGTCTCATGTCACTGACTTCCCGTGAGTCTGTTTATGTCTATAAATTGGAAAGCTTTATTCTTGAAGTACGTGTGATTATACATTTCCCGGTAAAATCTCGATATCGGGTGTTGACACATCATCGGCACGCACGTGTACTATTGTTTACCAGGGGCCTGTTCGTTTATGCGGAACAACCGGTTTGACCGTTTAAACGAAAACGGCCCAGGTGTTACTATAATTTGCACTACGATATTGAATGCCCGATACGCAATACGGAAATGACGACACGGTGTACATGCACATATAGATCAAGATAATTGAGTCCGAGCTGTACTTTTTTCGGAAGTACGTCACGAAAATGGACGCTGATGACGATGTGTGAAGCCACTTTAACTGCGATTATGGTTATCTTCGTATGTACTTGCTCTTCAAGTTGAGCCTTAGACCCAGACTGGCTCCTGTCTCAAGAATACTATTTTTTCAGAAAAAATGTATATGGATATCTGATTCTAGATAAGTTTCAAACTAGATGGAGGTTATTTTGTAGAAAAAGTACAGTTGGAAAATTCTTAACAAAACCTTATGGGCTCCAATAGAACTGGAGACCTCATGACCCAAGTAAGCTTAAAACCCATCGGGATTATATTATCAAAACGCAAAGAGAAAGCTTCAGAAGTTACTTTGAATTTAGAATATAACATACAGGTGAAAGATAAAATAGCCAACTCAATATTTGATTCAATCAGGAGAATATCTCGGCATCTGCCATAAACAAGCACCACTTTACAATTGGAGCCGGAAGAGGACATTTCTCTCGACTGCGCAGGTCCAGTCTGATCGTAGGATTGGTTGAGACATTGGATAGGTTCAACCAAGATCAATGGTCAACGCGTAGCTACTAAGCAAATACTAGGTCTCCAGGACCACGGTCTGGACCGTCTTCAGAAACTAAAGATGACAACAATGTCGTATCGTAAAATAACACAAAGAAACTACGAAAATCAAGTGGATTCATCAATCTCCATGGATATGAAGCAGCACGATATAAAAGTAAAGGCTATTCCATATTGTAACAACAGTTCAATTCATCAGACACGAGAAAACATTACTTCACACTCGGGTAATAAATGTTTGGAACAACAGTGACCGATGACTGCTACAGAAGAAAATTCTTTGAAAAAAGAAAGAATAGGAAAATATACAGACGCTTGCAGATCAGTAAAGTAGTATGGGGACTATCAGGCTCCATCGGAATTTGGACAAATGTAGTCTAGCTTCGGATTCTTGGAGGGGTAACATCCAACCATCCTAAACTGGACTAGGACAAATGTAGCCATATGGAAAGGTGACAATGGTAAGACCGTGATCTGTTCCTGTGATCCGTCGTCCACCCCTTTATACAATTCTTATTGTCGTTACTTAAGGTTTCCCCCTGTAGGCTCAGGGACAGAATAGGCCTGCTGTATCCCGCTACATGTTGTAAGACGCAAATAATGTGGGGCCCCATGCAGAATCGGGGTCTTTCTTCTGTGTTTTCTGTTAGGGGGACATTGAAGAAACCACAACTGGTTTTTTGCTCCCATTACAACATGTGGGATCTTTATTAGCCCACCATCAGATGATGTGGGCTTTTCAAATCACCCTCCGTGCATGGTCCGTCCGTCTTCCGCCCTTCAACAAATCTTGTTATCGCTATTTCTCAGAGAGTGTAGGAGGGATCTTTCTCAGATTTGATATGAAGGTTCCCCTTGGTCTGTAGTTGTGCATGTTTTGAGACTAATCAGATAAACAAAATGGCCGAAAGGTGGCCATCTTGGATTTTGACAGTGAATGTTTGTTATCGCTATTTCTCATGCATTTCTCGAGGGGTCTTTCTCAAATTCTGTGTGTAGGTACCCCTAAGTCTGTAGTTGTGCATGTTAACCTTTGAGACTGATCAGACAAACAAAATGGCCGAAAGACGGCCATCTTGGATTCGAACGGTGAATGTTTGTTATCGATTTTTCTCATGAATTTCTTGAGGGATCTTTCTCAAATTCTGTGTGTAGGTTTCCCTAAGTCTGTAGTTGTGCATTTTTACTTTGGAGACTAATCAGATAAACATAATTTCCGAAAGGCGGCCATCTTGGATTTTAACAGTGAATGTTTGTTATCGATTTTCTCATGAATTTCTGGATGGATCTTTCTCAAATTCTGTGTGTAGGTACCCCTAAGTCTGTAGTTGTGCATGTTAACCTTTGGAGACTGATCAGACAAACAAGATGGCCACAGAAAGTACTAATGAGATCATTCTGATATTGTAATGATTGGATCTACTTCTCTAACAATTAAACAACTGTACTAGTAAGTACATGAAACGGTGCATTTACTGTTTACACGACTTGATCAAACAGATAAGAGAAAAGATCAAACTGACAAAAACCAATGAAGATGGTACAATGGTGGGCGCCAAGATCCCTCTTGGATCTCTTGTATTTTCTCTCTGCTACCTGAAAACCCGTTTGTTTCCTAGTGGCTTGCTTGGCAATTCCTCACTTTTGGTCGTAGTGTTGAGCGATCGCCCAAGTGGTAGGCAATAGGTTCTGTCCCCAGGCCTGGACATACTAAAGTCCTTAAAACGGTAGTTGTTATTCCATGTTCAACTTTCATCGTTTAGGGTAATGACAACGACTGGTTCATCCATTGTCTGTTCAATTTGGACCCGTAAAATACTGTGCTGGGTGCCTTTGGCATTATATTTTAGTGACGTAGCACTATACAGTCGGCATCAGATCCGCGCTATCGCAAGGAGGCAAGAACATCAAAATACCCACATACCGTACACACATACACACAAGCACACATACACACAAGCACACACACACACAAGCACACACACGCACCAGCACACATACACACCAGCACACATACACACAAGCACACATACACACAAGCACACATACACACAAACACACAAACACACAAGCACACATACACACAAGCACACATACACACAAACACACAAACACACAAGCACACATACACACAAGCACACATACCCACAATCACACATACCCACCAGCACACATACACACAAGCACACATACACACCAGCACACATACACACAAGCACATATACACACAAGCACACATACACACAAGCACACAAACACACAAGCCACAAGCACACATACACACAAGCACACATACAGAAAACACATTGAGGCACTTCCTTAATTAGTCTTAGCTGTTATAGGACGTTAACTCATTCACCCCTGACATTTCCAAAATGACATATTCCAACCTTTGAATTGGAAGAGTTTAAAGGTGTCTTCAGGGGTGAAGGACTTAAACAAAATAAATCCAAACCAAACCAACTTCTAACCTATTTCTGCTTCCTAGTTTGTATATTTCTTTTTCAGATAACGATTGCATCCAGGAATAAGACATCTCATATATTCCTTTCTATCGTTCTAGCACTGTTCTAGTCAATTAGTCAAAAGACCGTCTCACTTTGAAAGGAAAATGTCAAATACAGCAGTTAGATCAAAAGTCGCCACATATTGCAACTACATGTATTGGTAACATGATTATCAATTCATCGAATGAAAAGATCACTCAGAACACTTGCCGGTTATATTTTGTTGCTTTCATCTTAATAAAAAACAAAAATCAAAGAAGTCCCGCAAGGTACGACTTTCTATTCAGAAATGCGTATTAACAGTTTTTGGCAGGGCACTGGGATCCTTAAGTAATGAAGTTCCTTAACTTTTGCTTTGACAATAACTTTCCGGATTAGTAAGAACGACCCGGTCAGGTTACCTAACACAAACGGAAATCTGTCCCAAAATGGATTTGCGAGAAATACCCGAAGTCGTTTCGCGTTCGTATTAGCTAGAATGACTCGAAGTGTGTTTCCGAAGTCTACCGCCGGTCGGATTATCTAGATAGACTCGAAGTCTGTTCCCAGTCGGATTAGTGAGAACGTAGATAGAGCGAATCAAAGTCTGTTTCTAGTCAGATTAGTGAGAACGTAGTTAGAGCGAATCGAAGTCTGTTTCTAGTCAGATTAGTGAGAACGTAGATAGAGCGAATCAAAGTCTGTTTCTAGTACGTAGATAGAGCGAATCGAAATCTGTTTCTAGTCGGATTAGTGAGAACGTAGATAGAGCGAATCGAAGTCTGTTTCTAATCGGATTAGTGAGAACATAGATAGAGCGAATCGGAGTCTGTTTCTAGTCAGATTAGTGAGAACGGCTTGAAGTGTGCTTTTCGGTCGGATAAGGGAGAAAGGGACAAAGCCTGGTCCTCTATATACTCCTTATACGTACCAAGGCAAACATAACACAGCACCTTAATAGCAAATAGCTGCTCGACCGATAGCACGGATGGAGTCGGCATTTATTCATAAATATGATATGAATATAATGAATACGCATTAACAAAATAACTACTCTGACTTCATTTACCGTACACACAAACAGTCCTCCCACATATACCCTCGAATGGTTCATAGCCATACAAATGTAAAACCAAGCGCGCCACCCAACCTGAAAACCTTATTAGGCGCGACAGGAGGTGAACCATCCCGACAATGCTTAAGTATTTTTTACAAAATTGATGCTGGGATTTCTTAAATATGACGATGCCCACACATACAAATGTTAAATGTATTGTCTACACCGAATACATTTCCTGTAACCTTTGACCCCTGTCGCTTTCTCGTTTACACAAGTGACAATACGCGCGACCGAGGCGACACACTTTTTCACGATCGATAACACAATATTAATACAAGCTAGTGTGGACGGACAGGCGAACAACGGCTCGCTGTGATTTCTGTTGGTCACCAGACGCAGCTTTTCTGTTTGGCGTGTACGGCCGATGTATTCTTGGTAGGAGTCACAGTCCCCAGGGTGATGCGGACTCGTTGTTGGAGGTTATGGGCTCGACACTCCGCATTCCCGAACCCCCGGGCAATCGCCCTGTGGCTGGTGGTTGGCACTGGCCTACTGTACTACTCTCTCTGTAAGTATTTACACTCAACGTTACTGACAACGATTAAGATGATCGATATATGTAAAGCAGTACATTTCAGAAGTCTGGAGTGCTGTGTTAATTAACAAACCATGCACAGTCTATATTTGGACAACGATCTTTTCACTTAAATTGTTCACTTGATACACATAGCCGTCTATTGAAGGAGGACTCGCGTCGTCATGCTCTCTCTAGTGAAAGACATTTAAAGTCTTCATAACAAAAAACATAGGTGTTCAGAAAAACGCCATGTGGTTAAAATCAATTTATTCGACCATATCATCCACTATATAAATACGTATTTAAGATTCGACTTTATCAGTATACATGTATTTGCTTTATGAGAATGCTCTACTACGCGTTTCTCTTTTTATGAACAATTTGAAAGGACGTTTTGTGGGTTCTACTGGTTCTTTTGTACCAGAATGTTGTTCTTTAATGTTTATTTGTGGTTGCAGAATGTGCCGAATGATCGTCCTGAAATATTTCTTTGGTATTTCATGGTGTGGCCGTTCTTTGTTTGACGCATGTATCCGAATGTTCATATTCGAAAGAATCTTTGTTAATGTTTAGGTAAGATCTTGTATATATTGTGAACAATGTACACGGTTTCTTTGTGAACCAGAATGTCCGGCTTTTAATAAAAAAATACATTTAAATTTTGAACCAGAATATACTGTTTGTTTGTGATTCCCCATCTACGTTGTCTGTGTAACATAATGATTGCTGTCGAAAGTGCTTTGTATCATTGAAAAGGGAATATCTTAAACTTTAAACTAGTTGTAACTATATGCACTTGGAACGTCCATTAACCCATTCTCTTGTGTATGATTATGCTGCATTAACTAATTTTAGCCTCCCTGTATGACTTCCTGTATCCAACACCGAATCGGTCCATGGTGCTGGTGGTGGCGTACATGCGCAGTGGGTCCAGTTTGGTGGGAGACATTCTACAGCAACACCAGTCTAGTTTTTACGTGTTCGAGCCCCTCCGGGCCGCCACGGATCTCGTCAGCAACAACCAGTCGTTAACTTTCTATAACAACTCCGTCAGGTGAGTGGAGTTGTCGTCCCTTACACTCATTTTGTGCAAGGAACGTCAACTCTGGTTAGAGATTTGTCACTTTTCAGACTACCTACATTAACATCACATTGTCTTGGTCTCTAGCGCCGATCGCTTGTTGTCAAGACCACGGTTTGTGGTCTGTACACAGGTACTAGCCTCGTCTGTTAATACACCTATGATATGATTATATTATAGGTGTATTGGCAGACGAGACTAGTACCTGTGGTCTGTAGATTTCTATGGTGTAGGACTTACATATTTGTTCAAATAAGTCTACCTTGACCCACTTTCAAGATCACGGGTCAAAAGTGTTGGCATTGCATTAAGTTTTCTTCAGCCATGATGTCTAGAATATTGATACAAATGTATTTGGCTTTGCTCAGATAAATTACCTTCAAATATTCAAATAAGATAAAGGCACCTATGGAAATATGAAGCCTGTTGCAACCCTCGTCACCTTATTTCCCTCCATCCTCGATATCCAGGGGTTACGTTTACTTACGTTCTCTGCACCCCTGGAATACCAAAACTGAAGGTTCATTGTGCGCAACCTTGTTGATGAGACAAGGAGACTAGTTCGATCCTTTGATGTACTTCAAAAGAATCTCGCATTCGCGTAACGTTAAACATTGACTGACTTTTTAGTCGGGTGTCTCTCCTTTGTAATCCTCCAAGGACAGGAATCAGTCTAGCGATTGGTCAGGATTTTTGTTACCCGAGACCAATCTTCAATTTTGCTATGATATATTCCATGTAACAATTGAGTGTCGCGGAGGTTGATGGACAAAGACAATATTATACATTTCAGTCCGAAATGAAGCCAGATGACATAGTACAATTCAAGTTTGTGAGCAGTCTTACACAAAGGTCAGAGGTCAAATTAACAACAGGAATTACAACGTCAAATATACCAATACAACCTATATAATAAGAACCTACACTTAAGTGTCCGCAATAGATCCATTTGGCGAAAGTCATGTCACCAATACGACACTGCAAAATGTGTCATCTCTTTCTGTGTATGTCATTAAGGAGTAGTTTCCTTTATTGGCCAGGCTGTGAGGTGATAACTCCAGTTAGACAGGTGTGAATTGTTTTGGACACGTTATACATACTGTAGTATATACTAGCATGCATACATTCATAATAATCGACACGTGTGATAGGAACTATTAATGCACTAGACACTCTTCAAACATACAATTCATATGCAATGACAGGTGTCATATACATTCTATTTATATATAGCGTCACGTGGTATACATTTACTATTTATATCCAACAACACGTTTCATACAAACTATTAATGGACTAGACACTCGTCAAACATACAATTCATATGCAATAACAGGTGTCATATACATTCTATTTATATATACCGTCACGTGTTATACATACACTATTAATAAATAATTTATATCCAACGACACGTATCTTACCTAAACCATTTATATACGCTAAAAAATGTTAATTCTAGTTTTCAATATTTATACTTTAAACGGGGTTTTTTTTCTGCAGAAGATATACGTCCAGTGAGGAGATAGTGCACCTCCACGCAGACCTCCTCTATAATTGGTTCACGTGCAATTTCACCAACCTTGACCTTGGCTCTCTGACATCAGATTACCTCAGATTCTACAGTTCCTCCACACTCCCCTACTACAATTGTCTTCAGTGGCACGGACGTGACGTCAACTCCGTCAAGTATTGCCTTGGTTACCTGCAATCCTACTGTGCACACAGGGAACTTAGAACGATTAAAACCATTCGTCTCAACTTGGAGACCGTCGACCTTCTGCTCGGACGGTTACCAAGGTTACGGGTGATACACCTTATAAGAGACCCACGTGCAATAATACATTCAAGAGTTCGCGTTAAACTTCTAACGTGGGGAAATATTCGACAAGAAGCTACCGAACTTTGTGCCAAAATATCAACAGATATTCTGTTATCTATTAAATTGAAACATCAACATCCAGAAAGATTTAATTTGCTTTTATATGAACACCTTGCGGAACGTCCCGAAGTAATAGCCGACAGGATATACACCTTTGCGGGGCTAAACATGACAGCATACGTTATGAGATACGTGCAATATTTGACAAGATACGGACGGCGCCTGGAATGTTTTTGGTGTACACAGAGGGGTAACTCTAACCGGACAGCCAAACTGTGGCGGGTATACACGCCGTACTCGCACATCCGGACTATCGATGCAGTCTGTGGTATGGTATACCACGTGGTCGGGTACCAACCAATCACTGACGAGAAAGCACAGCTTCGTAACCTGTCAAATCCGCTACGGAAAATTGTCGACTTTACTGTTGGGTCATTTTAATGGGACAAATTAAAGTTATGTGCTAATGATGATGGTTTTATTATCGTTATTTGTAGAATTCTTCTCTCTGACGGTGCATACTTAATATAGTGCCACACGTTTGTACCAACGAAGTCAGTACAGAATGTAAGGAACCAATGCTTTGAATTAGACCACAGTAAACATTTTGCCTCATTGCGCATGCACAGTTACATTTCACTACGTTAGCGCTATAAATTTTTATTATACCCGACTTCAAATGTCGGCGTACAGGCAGTTAGTTCATCAACACTCGTGCCTCAAGACGGCCGATAACTCCTTGCCTGTTCTGAACGTTGTTCTTTGTCGATCTTTCGGACTTTCATTTGCCTAAGTACGGTGGCTGTTTTGTGCCGTCCTCTGTCATGTCTGAAAAGACTAAAAGTTACTTTTGATTTTCGATGTTTCGTCTTTTCTCAAATTTCGTCTTTTCGGGTCGAACCCCCCNTTGGTGGTGAAAAGACGAAACAATGAGATTTGAGGTTTGTTGATTCTCGTCTTTTCACCCCAAAAAGACGAAACAACGAAATGGCACAAAAAAAAACGTACCTAAGCATGAGACATCAATTATAAAAAGCATCATAGAAGCTGAGAGGATAACCAGCTGAGAGGACATCGCCTCGGAGATTGTAAGTGTAAAACAAGCTTAGAGGACATCACCTCGGAGATTGTACATGTAATACAAGCTAAGAGGATATCGCCTCGGAGATTGTACATGTAATACAAGCTGAGAGGATATCGCCTCGGGGTTGTACATGTAATACAAGCTGAGAGGACATCGCCTCGGAGATTGTACATGTAATACTCACTTGTACAGTATATGCGTTCTCTTTCAAAAGTGTTTGCGATTATTTGTCTTTATAAAAACAACTGATTTGTTCAATTTGCCCTCAGCTGTTTCCGTTTGTTCTTGCTGTATATCCGATTAAATAATAAAAAATATAGTGGCGGTACTTCTCAACAAGTGTTTTGTCCCTGTGCAAGACACTCGAGTCCCGTATTTAAACACTGACCAACCGAACCATGACGCGTCCCTAAGACTGCCATGGTATCATTGTCTTTACAATAATCTTGGTCAGATCTTAAAGTGCGATTTGGATTGCTTGTAAATTACAGTTTTTGTTTAACCAAGCATGTGTGTATGTGTGTGTGTGCGATATATCCTGATCAAGTTTGGTTTACCTGTTGTCCTAGCTGTCGGATGTGGACACCTTGTGTTTGCATGCGGTACTGCGGTCTGTACCACTTCCGGTGAAGCTGTAGGATGCGGTGCGTGCGGTGCTGGGCCAGGTACCGGTTTCTGGTATACCCGATATCCTGTTGGATACTTATGGCCGCTACGGCTTATACCGTGTACAACATGGCGGGTGAGTACATTTAGTTCCGGAGTAATCGACCGTAATATGTGTGATTCTTGAACGTTGGGTAAGATTTGATTGGTGACTTTTTGAAGCTTTTCGTTGATGGCTGTCTTTTGAAGATAACATTCAGTACTTAATGTAGTCGGTTAAAATCTCTATAAAATGATAATTTTCCGTCACCTATGAGTGTGTTACGTTTTATTTCCAAAACGGTGGTAGACTCGGCTGGTGGATTATTACTCCCAGAGGTTTTCTATAACCTTGATGGCCACAGTATCTCTTTCGAGTATTGGCGCGAGTAATTTATAATATACACACTTAAGAGATTTTTAAATTGAAATTAACCAGTACACTTATACATTTTTAAAACCCTAAATTAATGTGTTTTACACACCTGCCCATCTTTTTAAACAGTAGTTCAGACAATTTGGATTTACAGCTTTGTGGCCCCAGCATCACCGATGAGTCCTAGAAGGACGAAACAGCTGTATGGTGCGGTGTTATTTAATTTTCACATTCTGTATCTATTACCTAATGTTATAGGTACAATCACGTGTGTGTGTGTGTGTGTGTGTGTGTGTGTGTGTGTGTGTGTG